TCACTCAGACTGGAGTGCACTAAAAAGAATTTTAATTCCTTCCGCTCTTGTAAACTTGATGAAAACAGAGCTTCCTCACATGCCATTGATTGATTGATTATCTGTCATCAGGTTGGTGTTGACTCTTAGCAACCTCATAAATAGTTTTCTCCAGAACAATCTGTCCTCAACCTGGCCCTTCCATGTTTTCCAAGGTAGAGTCTACAAAGAGTTTCATAAACTAACGAATTTAATGATACTTCAATTGAAATTGATGCTTCCAATAACCATGACCCCTTGACCATGACCACAGAAATTTATTGATAAGCCACCATGTTTTACAGTCCCCCCCCCCTTCTTACATTCATTCATTTCTCAATGATCTCCTAAGAGCAAAATCTGATTTGCACACCCAGACTGGCATAAACCTGACTGCACTTCCCAAATTCTGTTCATGTTACCTCTTGAATTTCTCAATCAGTCGTCTGCCAAATACATTCCCAGGCATGCCTAATACCCAAATCACCCCCAATATTCTTTTTTAAAAAAATAAAGGAACAATAATGACATTCTTCCAATTGTCAGGCATGGATGCAGTTTTCAAATGCACATACACATTAAACAAGATGCAAAGCCTCTCCATAAGGAAACCACACCTGTGTTCTAACATTTCTTCAGTTACTTCAGACTTCAGTCTTACTATTTTTCAACATTCTCACAACATTTATAACTTTTCATCATTTTTTTTTTCTGGGACACTGACATTTATAGCATTTGTTTCAATTCCACTCTTCGACATATCTCTATCGTTCCCACACAAACTTCCAGAATGCTCCTTCCAGCATTCTCTTACTCCAGTTTTTAAAATTTTGTTTACCTCCTTGGTGGTGGGTGGGGGGGGGGGTGGGGGTGGGCTGAAAACTCTAGCCACATGCCTCTATACTACATAGCCAGAAGTTTACCTTACTGAAATTGTTTCCATTTTGTATATTTTACCTTTTAATCACAAAAATGCAGAATAGGTTGTGAGTGTCCTACCTGTCTTACACACTGGGATTAGGGGGAGGATGTTGGGTGAAGAATCTCTGGATGATAGATGATGGCACCTGTAACACCGTGCTTACTTAATGGCCTAATCTAGTTTTTATCACAAAAGTAACAAATAGGGAAAAGTAAAAATGATACAAAGTTCATACTGTTATTTAGATACCTTACTTCCTCACTTGATGGTTTTCCATTGCTTGAAAAGATAAATGTCCTCACTTGAGGTTTTCCATTGCTTGAAAAGATAAATCTGAAGTTCATGTACATTTTTAAGAAATAAAATCATATTTCTCTTGCTTTATTTTTAGTTTAGTTTTATGCTCCCTGTAATAATATAGGATAAGGAAACACTTATTATTAGTCATGACATGCTCCTCACATAGCACAACAACTTAGTTTATACAGACCCATGAGGAACACCATGGGCTTGTTGTCAAAGTCAGTGTCCTCCAGGGCAGGTGAGTGGAACTCATTAAAACTTGCTTTATACATTATAGCTAAACACCATGGGTATAAGCTACATGGACAGTCCGTAGCTGGAATTGCAAACATAATCTTGTACAGACAAATAGGTTTGATTCATACAAGTGCTAAACTAGACCGGACAAATTGTGATTGCTGTTATAAATTTGGGCATTCAGTATGGTCATCAGGGGTCCTACTATGCCAGGAGCTATCTGGCAGTTATTTGCAATTGGCCTTCATGGTGGTACCTATGTTCTAGAATGCTCTTCTCCTGAATTTGGTGAGATGACTTTAGGCACATGCATCCTTCTTCATTTATGCCTTCCCTGTATGAATGTTGGGTGAATGGCTCTTGGGATACTGTGTTCCTTCCTTCATTTTTTAAAAAAGAATATGTTTTTGTATTATATTAATTGGTTATTGTTGCAGTTTATATATTGTAAACTGCTTGAAGATTAATGTGCAAACCCAAGGATAAAATAATAAACTTAATATGTTGTGAGAATGCAGTGGCTAGGTTTGTAATTGACCTAGTTAAGCCTGTATCTAAGCATAGACTCTGGGTTGTATGAACCATTCTCCTATAAGTTGTAAACCATGTTTCATGGCTAACATAAAACAAAGCTAGTCAACTATAATTTATTTAACTATGATCATACACAGTGACTTAGCATTATGTATGAATCCAATGATATATTAATAGATAATTTTTTTTACCTAACATAGATAACATGTTTCTCAATTCCTCCCTGTACATGTAAAAAAATTGCAAATCGTATTTATGCTAAATATCTGTATTGAGTTAATTAATAAACAATATAATGCATAAACACTTTCACACAAACATGCATAGAAACAGAATTAAATGTACTAATACTCACAATTTCTGTACTTTGCTATTACATGTGTAAAGGAAAAGAGTTTACTATCTTAAATAAAGAGGGAGTTGGGAAGCAGTGAAAGTGCCACTTATATTGTTATATTGCTTTTGCTGTCACTGCCTAATTCTAATATCATATTACATTATTGTCAACTTGTTTGTTGACCTTTGGGCTCTCCGACTAAATAGAATCCAAAGCAAATACTAATTCAGTAATATGAACATTACTTTTGATGAGTTAAAGGCTATAGTTAGAGTTTGCTAAAGGCTGTGGCAATCCGACTCTAGTGGAAGAACATTCTATGTCTTGTCATCAATGCCAAAAGACCGGTGCCATTGACAGCAAAAGCTTCTTCAGAGTTCCTGTCTTGCAGATCTGTTTTTAATGTGACAGATGGTCCCTCACATACTTTATTACTTTACTGATTAATCTGGCATAACTGCTATTCACTAAATGTGGTCTCACTGTGACTAAGACGAATGTAAACTTTGCCTCTGATTTTGTGAGGAAAAAGGTGAAAAAATATTCTGCTGTTATATGTTTGCTCCTTAAAACCAAGCTAATGTGGATTGATTTGTATTTTGGATCTGGATTTGGATTTGAAAGCTAGGATAGCGATCTTATACAACAAACAGAACAAGTATTCTCCAGGATCTTGAAGACTAACAAAACAATACTGTTCACATTTTGAGGGCTCCTCATGGTCATGTTAATGTGCTTTCCTATAAGCCTTGAATCAGAAGGAAAGTTATATTGACATGAATTGTGCTTCCTCCACAACCAGTCTTTACTATGCCTTAGCAACAAGGCTGTGCACTATTGATGCCCTCAACAATTTAATGTGGGTTAATTTCAGCACTTAGTGGATTCCCTGCAATCCTTTCCCTCCCACCTAGCATTTCTCACCTAGCAGGAAAACTGGCCACCAATTACTCTCCTGCAGTTGTAGCAGGATGGGGGTTCAAGCCTTAATTCTATTATTTATTTAGTCTTAATTTTATTATTTACTGCATGCTTCTTCTGAGAATCATTGATTTCCCAAGAGATCAATAGTCCTATGAAATGATTTCAGAAATGAAATTGCTTTATAGATCAATATTCCTGTCAGAGACAAAGAAGATTGATATATGTAAGTCAAACAACCCTTCCTCAAAAGTCTGCCTGAGTGATCGAAAGAGCTGATTTGAAATACAAACCAGAAAAGCCTGAATCTTACTTTTATTGTGCCTCTGGATCTTTCTTTCCATTCTCCCTCCTGTAGCCAATTACTTCTTCAAATGATTTCTGGTCAAGAAAAGAGCCTCTTCCACCCCATTTTTCACAGTGTGTGTATGGGTATGTGTGTGTGTGGGGGGGGGGTATTTGGGTATTTTGTGGCAAGAGAAGAAGAAAAACACTACTTTCAAAGTGGAACAACGAGGCTGGGCGTGAGATGGGGGACATGTATGTTAAAAATAGTTAATGAAGTGTCTTTGTGCCATGGCAAGCAGGATGTGAGAATGAGCCCAAAATGTACATCCATTGTGTTCATTGCAGCTACTCTGTAATAGCTCTTTGGGACTGCTGTAGTCATGCTTATGACAGAATAAATCTTCCTGAAGAAAGTAACAAAAGTCAGGACTCTGGTAGCCCTTCCCAGACTAACAGATGTTATTAAAACGATAAGCTTTCACGAACGACAGCTCACTTCATCAGATGAAAAGCGTAACAGTGAAAGTTCTTTTGAGCATGTATAAATTTTGTGCCATAGGGCTGCAATCATTTTACACATGTATCGTGAAAATTCCACTTATATCCAGAGCAAAAGCTTCTTACTAAGAATGTATTAACAATAAATAATGCATTTTCCATTTTTAAACCATAACAAGATTCTTTGGCAATTTACAGATGGACTTTTACTAGCCCCACAATCCAAAGGCATTCTTCCCTCCCACAAGATTTTTCCTGATTAAAAAAAAAAAAGTATTGGTAACAGAAAAATACAGAATAGCATACCAAAAAGTCAGCAACTGAGGCTTTTATTTCATGAATACCCTACTTTATTCCCAGAATGAAGCTGTGTTTGCACAATGTACTGAACCATAAGTTAGTCAAATTCATTTTAGTCTAGTGTGCATGGCGAATTCAACCCCTAAGGTTCATTTATGGAATCATAGCATGGGAAGGGGCTTTGTAAGACATCCAGTTCAACCCCTTGCACAAAGCAGGAATTTACATTAAAGCCTCCAGATAGATGGCTATCTAGCTTCGGCTTCAGCACATTGAACCACAAGAAGGTCAGTACCCTTCTGAGTAACTGGTTCCTCTGTTAAACTATTTATACTGTTAGGAAGTTCAGTGCAATATGGCAATTCTGAACATTTAGTAAAACATAAGTGAACACGTGATCTGGTCTATCTTTGAAAAGTACGTCCCAGTTCTTGTACCTTGGTTCTACATGAACCATGTGCTTCGTAAGAATCCGGGCG